CAACGAGGCCGTGCTTGATCAGAGTGAAAGATTGAGCAAGCTGGTTACCACTTGGTCCATTGCACCACCAGACCCACAAGTTCATAATCATAATCATAATCATAATAATTCTACCCACTTTGATCCTCATCAAACACACAACAATAATGATTTGAATTCTTCGATGGATCATTCTGGGGTTTTTTCTTCATACGGTGCTCTTGACATGAAGGTTAAGCAAGAACATCATCATCATGCGATCGGATATCAGAACAACGGATTTAACAGTCAGTATGGGATGCCGGCCAGTTTGTCTTCATCGTGTTCAAGAAATTTGACAGATGTTATATCTTTTACGGGAAGGATAGGCCGGCCGATTATCGGAATTCATGCACTGAAACCCAGTTTCAGACCACCTTCGATGAATACTGTATCTGACTCCAAGAAACACACTTTTCAGACATCACTGCCGGTAAATTCTCTGAACATTAGTTACTTTTTGCTGTGTGATTTCCAAAGATGTATATATGAAAATTGTGTGTTTCGCGTTTATATATTGAGCTTGATCGATCAACTTATAATAAGTTGATATGATAGTATGCAATAATACGCAGACAAGGACAAACAATGGAAGAGGACAAGGGAGCTCCACTGAGGTAAAGAAGAAAAGAACAGATGACTCATCATCAGAAGCAATCTCGAAGAAGCCAAAGCAAGAGACATCTACTGCATCTTCTGCAAAGGTGACTAAATTAAATTAGATGTGTAGCAGCAAAATCAATGGCAATATATACGATAATTATTGATGAAAGCCCAAAAAAAAAAGTCGATTTATATAATAACGTTAAGAAACTTCTATTCATTTGTGTTGACAGATGCAAGCACCAAAAGTCAAGCTAGGCGACAGGATTACAACCCTTCAGCAAATTGTGTCGCCATTTGGAAAGGTCACTACATATTGCACTAACACCAGTCTTTTTCTCTTTTATATATATTTGCTAAATTAATTCTTAGTGCTCTTCTTTTTCTCCCCCCAACAACTGTATTTTATTTTATATGAAATGGATCCTTTGGGTTAATTAGGGCTTTTTGTATATTTTCCTAAAGCAACTTTATATATATCCCTTAGATTTACTGGGCAATAAGTAGGCGATAAACCAGTCATGTGACACTATTTTCACCGTTTAACTAAAGAAATCTGTAATGACAAAAAAGAAATCAAAATCCGATTTTGTTTTGTATGAATATTGATGAAATTTGTTGTTGGTGAATTTCAGACGGACACTGCATCAGTGCTTTTTGAAGCAATTGGGTACATAAAGTTTTTACAAGAACAAGTGCAGGTGGTAATTAATTATATATTATTGAAAATTTAATGATTAGTGGTGTTAATTAAATTAAAGTGCAAATGAAATTCTGGGATATGGATAATATATATGTTTACATGTGATACTTATATATATTGCAGCTACTGAGCAACTCTTACACGAAGACTAACTCGCATCACAAGGTAATAAGAATTAAATGAACTTAATCTGTGAAGTTCTTGAACTTGGAGGATTTGTACGTATATACATGTAAGAAAAGAAGGAATGAAGTGAAAATAATGAAGAATAATATAATGCAGGAAACATGGGGAAGCATGGAGAGGAAATTAGAAGAGAAGGGAGACCTGAAGAGCAGAGGGCTTTGTCTGGTTCCAATTTCATGGACTCCTCAGGCTTACAGAGACAGCACTGCCCCTGACTACTGGACTCCTGCTTATCGAGGCTGCTTGTTTAGGTAGCTTAGCTTCCTTATTTATTAATATATATATATATATATATATCCCAGACTGTGTTCGTTTCAATAATTCATATCTATTGTAATATATGAACTTCTCTTTTAGTCAATAAAATATCTACTCTCCGGTCCTTATTATAAGACCCAGTTTGACTTTTTATTTGGTCCTAATTATAAGACCCAATCCATTTCTCTCTTATATTTATGTATTTTTTTCCAAGATAATCCTTCGAATAATGATAGTTTTAGCCAATATACTTAATTAGCAAAGATTTTAGGAATAACAACACTTATTTATTATAAATAACCAACTTAACTTACTTCCTTAATCTCCTCAAATAAGTCAATTGGGTCTTATAATTAGGACCGGAGGAGTATATATGTTCTTGCTTATTATGACCATCAACACTGCGGCTTTTGTTGGTTCGTATACTAGCTAATCAAAAATCAATTCTAATATCAAGCCTAGACCCGCTTTGTTATCACACGAGGGAAAGTATTCTTTTTTTCATAATAATACAAATGATCAAGATGTGTAGTATACAATATCTATAATACTTCTCGTGTCCTTAATATAAGACCTATTTAACTAATTTGATTAGATTAAAGAAGTTAGGTAAATTAGTTAATGATAAAAAATATGATATGTTTTTCTTAAAATACCATAATTATCTTTTTTAATATCATCCTTTTCTTTTCTACTTGATTATGGTTGAGAGAGTATCCACAGGGGGTAATTTAGAAAAAATTGATAAATATAAGAAATAGGTCTTATATTTAGAACTAAAATTAACTTAACAATTAATCTTTTTTGTTCCAACCTATATATCGAATGAGCTCAAAAGAATCAAGAGTGAGAACATTTTTCGGGTTAATATCTGAAATAATAAGGAACATCAACTAGCAACTTGGGAAGAATACTAATTAATAAACGTGGGGAGCAGAATGAATGGCGCTCAGATATTAACGCATGTGCACTCACTCACTCACAATTTGAACGATTTATAATATATTCTAGAAGCCACCTTGATGATGGGGTGGCAAAAATTCAAACTCGTTTAATTGATTGATAAGAATGCAACTCATATATAAGTTCGTTGAATGTAAAATTTGAATACTGCCATCAAACAAATATCACATTGTTGCTATTTATAAGTCACTTGCAAGGAAAAAGATTTGTTTCTAAATATAAATTACTTATAAGGTAATTAATGAAATTTTCTTAATTTTATCCCTATTAATTTAATATAAAACATATTTTTAATAGTACCTTTGTTGAATAAAGGCATATGTGAAAAAAAATGTCAACTTAATGTATTCCTCCGATCCTTAATATAGGACCTAATTATTAAGTTAATTTTGATTCTAAATATAAGATTTATTTCTCATATTTATTAATTTCTTTTAAATTATCCTTATGGATACTTCCTCAACTATAATCAAGTAAAAAAAAGAAGAAAGATATTAAGAAAGATGATTATAGTGTTTAAGGAAAAATATGTTATATTTTTTATAGTTAACTAATTTACCTAACTTTCTTAATCTAATCAGATTAGTTAAATATGTCTTATATTAAAGATCGAAGAAGTATTTTTTAGTTGGCAGGTTTAAGATACAAGTAACTTATACATAAAATAAGAGTAATACAAGTGAGTCAAAGAAAAGATGAGGTCGGATAAAGTGGTAAACTTGACCATGACAAGGCGGATCCAATGGTCATTGGCTGCTTCATTCAATTCAAGAGACCATATGGCCACGGTCCCTCCATTTCATAGCTCACATTTGTATGCTCATTTTAAACATGAGCATAACATGGTCAACTTTTTATTTAAAAAAAAAGAGTATATTTTATTTTGATTTTAATTTATTGAATTTGACATGACAGAGAATTTGAAATGGAGCTTTGCATCTAATTAAGACAGTTTTTTTTGAGCATGAAGGACCAATAGAGATGAATCCTTGAGATAATTAAACATTTTTATTAGTCAACATCAAACTTATATTCTTTTGTGCGACTCAAATGAAGCCATCTAGACATTGAATGAGAACAACCATCATCACCAAATTCAACCACTTAATGATTTTGATTATGCACACACAAGCTCTTTCATGGCTTTAATTTCCCACTAGCATCTCTAGAGAGAGATGGAAATGGAGTGAGGGTTAGATTTAGAGAATGGACATGGTTTTGGGTTAATGGATCATGGGTTTGGATGAAGTCAAAGGCGTCCCGTTGAGCTTTTGTAGCTATCATGGATTTTTGGGATAAAGTTAATTTTACTCGTTCTCTATTTTTTTTATTGTTATTTTTTCAGGAAAAAAATCTATCAAAGAAAATAGGGAGAACTATAATGAGATTTTAAAGAAGAAAAATAATTACTAAAAAATTTCAGTAACAATCCAAACAGTATATAATAACAAGTTTCAGAGTAGAAAATAATAACTTTTAGAATTTTTTGCAATTATTTTCCTTCTTTAGGGTTTTATTGTAATTCTCTCGAGAAAGTATTACGTGCTAAAATCTGTAATGGGTTGCAAGCTTGTAAAGCTTCCAATGAGAGCCCTTATATTTTTGTTGAATGTGAGTTTTGACTTGACTGCCGGTTTTGTCATGAGTATCAGCTGATTTTTTATTGATAACAATCATTAAATTATATTCTGTAACGAAAACAAAATAATTTGAAAGGATTTTCGCTTTGTTTGTTCAGAAGTTCGCAACCAAATTTGTTTCAGTTATTGCCAGATTTGAATTCCTTCAGTTGAGGCTTCTTCCGTTGAACATCAATCAAGAGATATCAACCATTAGATTTTGATCTGAGCGTCCTGAAAGAGAAGTTATAAATTTCTTTTTAAAAAATAACAAGATTTCTTTAATAGTAACTCTCCTAATACTGTTAGATTTCTAAGGGCTAATAACCCTCAGTTAGGACTCACCTGAAGATATCCAAATACAAAAACCAAGCTGGACAGAAGCTGCCAGCCACAAGCGAAAGCTCTGATAGCCCCCGATGCAAGCTTCTGTGAACCAAAACAACTTTTGGACTCATTCGTCTAATGAAACCGCAGGAGACTCTCTAGCCACAACAAATAGCAAGAAGGAAATTCAAATGCAACGACCTGGATAGGAGGTCAATATATGGAAAGATAGAAGAAAATTAAGGGAGAAAATAAGGTTGGAGTCATGATTGAATGTCGTATGACTCTCATCTTTTCTAACGGAAATTTTAGTGACGACAAAATTGAAGCTGAAGAGCAAAGACGACTTTGTTATTAACTTCCTAACGTTGCAGGCCTTAAACTCTGCATAACACTTGTATGCGAAGAGTACAGCAAAATGCCCCCACTACAAATATAAAAATCTTCATTCAATCAGAGATGCAAATACAGTAAAGGGATAATTGATACGGAAAAAACGAATTTAAATATCCCCCAATTCTACAAACAAATTTTAGGCAGAAATACAGCACAGTTAGACAACTTGATAACCTTTGGAGGTCCGCTGTAACATGCTCATGAAAGAGTAGATGTTCATGTTCCACTTTGACCCTGTGTAATCATGTGAGCATGACACCAATCTTCTTAGCAAAGTCATCCCCATCCTCCTCATCATCCATGTATTCTTCCTGCTCTGGATTTTCGCCTTCATCATAATTGTAGTCTCCCTCGTCAACTTGCTCATAGTAATAATCACCATCCTTCTGATCATCTCCTTCAAACTCCTGGTCTTCTATCACTTCGTTGTCCATCGTTCCTTCTTCAACCGTGTTCTCGGTTGCCTCAAACTTGGATTCCTCGTTCTTAACATCTTCCTTATTTGCAGGAAAAGTGCCATTTCGTGCATCCATGACAGAGGTGTATTCCGAGCCATTAGTAACTTCTCTGTCTTTATTGTCTCCTCTATTCTCAGACGACTTGCCACTCTTGGAAGCTGCTTCAACTCTAGCTGCTCTCTTCTCCTTCAAAATCTCACTAAGAGGTTTTGGACCTTCAAGCATGAAATCATCTTCGGATTGTTGTTGTTCCTTTAAACTTTTTCTCTTCCCAAGCAACTGATGCTCCTTGTTCCGATTATTCTTTCCATTTCGCAGTTCAGCAAGACTTTTTGGTCCATCAAAATCAGCATGTTCGTCCCCACTTATTTCTTTCCTTATAGGGCGATCCATGAAGTTTTTCCTCTCAAAATCTTCTTGCACCCTTCCTCTCAGTCTATCTCGGAACTTACCTGCTTGAGGAGTCTGCATGGTTCCAGGTGACAACGTGCTTCTATTTCTTCCCCTGTCTGATTCCCTCTCCACATATTCATCCCCACCATCTGCTGGAAGCTTTATCCTGCCTCGGAAGCGATTACTGAGAGCACTTTCTTTCCGAGGTAACTGGTGAACATCCTTCTGAGAAGAGAACCGGTGACTTTGCTCATCATCATGGCTCTGATGCGCAAAATCATGACTCACAACAGATTTCAAACCATTGACCCTCCTGCGCTTAGATAAACGATGTCGAAGATCTGAAACCCCCACATTTTCAGGACTGCCAGATCTGCGATGAGTCATCCTATCTAAATGTGTTGTTGCCCGGAATATTCTTTCTGATGAATTCCTGCGCTGATCCCACGCATATGTCTCTTGCATGTGATCGTATGAATCATAACCTTGTGGTCCACAATATCTGTCTTGGTCAATATCAGCTACAGATTTATAATCTACAGAATGTCCTAAATCATATTCATTCACAGAGTCCAAGTTCATCCCATCTTGACCTCTTGCTTTTCCAAATTGGTCTTCTCCATCATAGTAATCTGAATTCCTCAGCTCATCAGCAACAAGTACATCAAAGCCAGGTGAGGATTCTCTCAAAAACTCATCACTTTCCTTGCCATTGTGGAAACTATGATCATCCGTTACATGAGATTGATATGCACGGTTTGGCCTGGCAACAGTGGTTCCATTGGTGACAGGCGGAGTACTTACTACCTTAAATCTAGATGCCTCATTATCAAATCCCATTGGTGGTGGTGCATGCCTCTCTACAGCAACCACATTTCTATGCGAAGCAGTTCCAACATTTTGGGCAGGCTTAGCTTCAACACCTGTAACTGGCTTTGTAAAGTTTGCCTGGGAAATTTTCCTTTCTTGTGTTGACTTTTCTGGGCCACTAAAAACCTTCTTAAAACTTGGAGGCTCAGTAACCTGGTTTGTCGCCTGAACCTGAGGAACTTTACTGCTGGTGTTAGGATTTGGTCCATGCAAAAAAGCACATCGGTCACCTTTTAAGCAAAGCCCTTTCTGGAAGAAAATGCAAGGGACAGCTTGCTTTGTAGAATTATAAGGTGCGTGTGGTACAGAAGTTGGTGCAGTCTGTGGTGGGGGTGCAGATGATCCACCAGCAGTGGCTGCCTGTGGTGATAAGAAGCTATCAAGAGGCTGCAAGGGAAACAATAGGCAGTTAGCATAAGTTACATGAAGAAATAAGTGCTTAAAAAGAAGCTCGGGGGAAATAAATCTTATTGTGCCAAGAAAAATAGAGACTCACCGGATGACGGAAGGAACATTTGGGATTCAAGCAATTACCGTTCAACCAATACCAACAATCTCGGGGATTAACCCGAGCATACTCGCTATGGCGATACTCACATTCACTTCCCTGTTTCAATAAAGAGAATCAGATCAAAACAACAGCCATAAAAATTCACAATTTTGTACAAGCTTTTCATCCCTATGCAACTAGACATTCATAATAATTGACCAACCCTTTTTTCACTGATATAGTTTGAGTGCTCAAAAATAACATCAAGGTAATAAATGATCATATCACAGGTACTTCCTTCAGGTGAAATGCTGAACTGATTACAGATAGCAAACTTAAAGGTTCATTGCAAGGAAACTGCTAGAACCACTTGAAAACAGTACTCCTTGCTAAAAATATAGTATGCATGCTAATTATATTGTTGCACTGGATATGGCTTGCTTTGGGATGTATTCAATGTATTGTTCATATTTCAGGAGTTCAGCAGTAGCATATACACAAACTCCTTTGTCAAGTCATAATAACAACACATGGTACCAAATAGTAAAAAGAATAAAACACGTAAAGAAAAGCCAAAAACGTTGACATGAGCTAGCTCGTAAATTCCGAGTGTTAAAATTGTTGTATCATCCAATCCACAATTAATATGTTCCTAACTGAATCCAGGCACGTCGCCCAACCTTACGTAAAACAATGAAAAGATATTGTCCCATCATACGGTGGGGATTTCTCCCCCGTTTCCACTTTTACTTCGACACGTAAAATGATAAGGTATTAAATGAAACAACACGCAGATCAAATGACCAGACTAATCAATTACATACATGTGTAGGCCCCGAGAAATATCTCAAGAGAGTTAATTGTCTATATGGTCGAATAACTTCAACGATCGTTCTTTGTTGGTTAGATTAGGTTTTCAAGCTGCCTAGGGGTGACTTATGAATATAGGGACTCAATATTCATTTATTTCCCAACAAATATCCGACACCAATTCCCCAGATAGACCGGGAGATGGAACCAAATCTCCAAAAGTTAGAATCCTTCACTTAAAAAGAATTCACTCCTAAAATTATTTCCGGAAACAAATCATCAGGCCCAAGCTGCGAATCCGGAACCCTAAGTAGAAACCGTGGAACCAGATCCCAAAGATCTTCTATGTAAAAATGTATTCAAAGATAAAACAAGAAAAGAAAAAAAAATTCATTCTAAAGAAGCATCGGATTAGACGAAAAGGAGAATCAAGTGTGACCTTTTTGCATGTCAAGGGGGAGGCAAGAAAGTAGACGCAATCCGTGTTCCTCTTTAAGGCCTCATCTTGCGCAGAGGTCGTAGTTTGCTGAGTCTCTTGCTGCGATTGAGGTTGTGGTTGATGCTGCTGCTGCTGCTGCGCGCCAGCCACCATGGCGGTTCTTAAAAGACCACCGATTAAAGATCAGCAAGAAGCAGATCGAATCGAGGAAACTGACGGGGATAAAACTTGGAATTCAATAATTAGCTGGGAAGAGCTCGATCCAAATCTGAGAGAGAGCCGCCACAGAAATTGGGAGTCAGAGGGAGAGGAAGAGAGAGATCGGGAGGAGGGGGACAATGGAGAAGTTGTGTTGTGTGTGTGTGATGGGCTTTAAGCTAAGCCTAGGTTCTGTTGTGTTTCCTTTTTCGGATAATTGTTTCTCTTTTTTTGGGTTTTTTGGGGAAATTATGATTCGAACGTGACGGTGTCGTTTCTGGCTGTTATATTCTGAGGTTTACGCTTTTCACTCGGTCCGGTTCCGGTCCGCCATGTGCATCCAGTGGCTTACAATTGTCCAAATTTAACAGCTTGTCTACTAATGATTTCTTAACTAGTGAATAAAAATGGTTGCTCTGTTTTTTTATAGGATAATAAATGTGTTTTTCTTGTATTGTATATAATAACTTAAAAAATATATTTTAAAATCTTCTATAAATATTTTATATTTGTTTATTATTAATAAATGTCAAACTGACCATTCAATTCATTAAGGTGTTATTGATTCAAATTCATTAGAAAAATTGCATTTGAATTAGCTGTGATAAAATAATATATGATCAACCTAATTATGTACTAAATATCTAAAAACAACAATAAAAATAAAACATCTAGAATTACCCACATCATACGTACACTTATTTTATTATTTGGATTGGACCAACCAACAGGTTTTTGAAATCCTCAGTCAATTTTTTGAGAGGGAGAGCTTTTGGAAAGAGAAGAAGGGTCCATCAAGAAACAAACGGCCCAGCCTGGACTTCCTAAGAATTGCCAAAAACAATGAGCCATATGACCAACAGGAATTGGGTCTAACGAAAGGATTAGTCTCTCACAACGTAGTGAATCAAGATTCGAATCCCCGTTCGGAGGGGTGTTCAAATTTAGCATCCGACAGTGCCTCTAATAGGATAGCCTTCAATAGAAGATACCTATGCTTTAGCCAAAAAAAAAAAAAAAAGGCCATATGACATTAAACAATGAGAACTCTGGTGTTTTTTTATGCCAGAAATAAGAAGTCTGGCGTTGATGAATTAAAAAAAAAACATGTTTTTATTTGAGATGATTAGGTGTAATTTTGATTTTGATTTCCTACACGTTCAAGTTACCACAGTCACTGCATTTTTTTAAAATTATCTCTATTATCATAACGTTTTCGTAGTAAGCATTTTCTACGTAAGGTTGGAATATTTGTAATTATTATCATTAAACGCGGGCTCGCCTGAATATTATATCTTATTTAGACTATTCAAATAAATTTTATTAATTTTCGTATTTGAATAATATTTAACAGAAAATTTATGACCATCTAAATTCTATCCGCATATGGGCTCAACTATATTTTTAATTTGAAAAATATACTATTGATAAATAAATGTATACATTTTCTTTTAGTTTAGAACTGCATGCATAAAATTAATTCATTTGCCAAGTTCTTATTCACAAGAAACAAAACAAGATCCAGGAAATTAATTTTACTTCCGTTTTGTCCACATAGCAATCATTTTCATTAGCCAGTACTGCACATGGATATGAAGAGAGCAACCTTTGGATTCATATTGACCATGAAAGTTGACGAAATATATAATTTCATATATATGTTGCAGAATACTACATCCGATTCTTAATATAAAAACTAGTTGATCGATTTGATTACGTTAATTAAATTAGTTAAGTTGGTTATTTGTAATAAATAGGTGTTGTCTTTTCTAAATAACCTTATTAATCAAATCTATTAGTTAGAACTACCATTATTATAAGGATTGTTTTGAGAAAAAATGAATAAATATGAAAAAAAAAAAATTAGGGTCTTACATCTAGAACCAAAATAAAAATCAAACGAGCTATTATATTAAGGACCAAAGGTAGTATATACTACATCCTATTCTTAATATAAGAGCTATTTTAATTTGTAAGTTGGTCCTAAATATAAGTTCCCAATCTACTTTGTCTCTCACATTTATCGATTTTTTTCAAAGTAATTCTTGTAATAATTGCATATGTTAAAAGTTCTATCAAATGGTAATCCTAGTTAATACGCATAATTAGTAAGGATATTTTAAGAAAGACAACCAAGATTTATTACAAATAACTAACTTAATAAACTTCCTTAATATACTCTCAACTAATTTTTGTATTAAATACGGAATGTAGTACTCTCGAAACAAAAATTCAAACCTACCATTCTCTAGCAGTCAGCGAACGAAGTAGTAACAAAAACCTAACATTCAAACACTGACCAGCTGGTTCATATACTCTAATTGACAGCTAGCTGACGATCAAATCTTAATCTAATAGCTTCACCACAAATTTCACAAACTCGTCATTCTTCGACGATCCATCGCAAGATCCAGAAACTCTCCAGATCTTCCTCTTAATTACCCGGCAATCTGCATCAGGTACGAACTGTTATTTATCATGTCTCAGATTTTGCATGCTGCGCTTTTTTTCTGGTTTTCGTCGTACGAATGAGAATGATTTCATGTAAGAATAGTTCACCATGGTTTGCGAGATGTAAGATTTGATTCTTGAACGTACGTGATGGAAAATTAATGATACCCACAGAAGGAAAACAAACCCTAAGCTTTACATGTAAGAACTGGATGTGATAAATCTGCAGAATGCTTTGAGCGACCGAGTCATTAGTTAGATGATAAGTGGTTTCATAAACCTGGTAACACAAGAAACAGACCATAACATGAAATTTGTCACTGGAAACATATATATAGGATAGGTCGAAAACCTAGCTAGTTTGGCTTCAGAATAAAACAGATGGTAGAAGAAGGCAAAATATATGAATCCATGGGGAATATCTGAGTTATGTATAGGTTTAACAACAGCGACGAAGCCCTCACAATGATCAATTAATGAGAGAAACATCGGACCCTGCTGGTTTTTTTTATCCCCTATATTAATCAACCTTAACAGATCTGCCATGAAAATCTCGTCCTCATAATTCTCTGCTGATACTTGGTCTCCGGCATACATGCATGTCTAAATTATCAGCTCTAGCAGCTTGCACAGATGAACTCCACGATCCATTCTAAAAACCTTTAAGAATAACAGCAACAAAACTTTTAACATTTGATTTAAACGTGCACAATTCAAGTCAAAATAAAAAATAAGGAGAATGGGAAGGCATGCAATTCATACTACTGCAAGGCCTTGTTTGGAAAGGATAACACGAAGCTTAGTAAAGTATTTATTGAGTTAAGGTGTAAATTTGTTCCGAAGGTTTTCACTCAGGAACGTTGGGTATTTGAAATTTTTTTTTTATAGCAAATTTGTCTTGAAAGTTTAAAATCATAACAATATTAATTGTCCAATAGCATTAAAAATGTTAACGATTTAACATCACTATTTTAATGGTCAACGTTAGTTTTTTGATAGCAAGGGGTAATATTACTATGATTTTAAACTTTTATAGTAAATTTGCCTCCATAAAACTTCTAGATACTCAAGCTCCTAAATAAAAACTTTCAAGACAATCTGCACCTTGACATAATATTTATATAACAAAACCGTCTATAGTGCTTTGGACATAATTAACCTTTCATTAAATTATAGATTTCTAAGGTATTAATTATTTTTACTTGTGATGAATAATCCTGTCTCATAAAATTTTATTGGAGTTTGTATAAAGTTTTATTCTTTTAGGGATTGCTAAACTATAATGATTAACATTTTTTTAAAGAAATATCTGATTCCACTTGGCTTAATTTACGAACAACCCTAAGAAGTTGGAACGATATATAATGAGCGAGATGGACAGAAAGACTAGGAGTTAGTGTGGAGATGAGAAAAAATGTTGATAAATATCGGAGAAATGGCACGTAAGTCCCAGAAGATAATATTAGGTTTCAAAAAAATTTTCAAAAATAAATTGTAAATATCTTTTCAGAACATTGTACTCCTTCGGTCCTAAATATAAGACCATTTTGTAGTGTAATTTACACTACAAAAGGGTCTTATATTTAGGACCGGAGAAGTAATATTATTTTGAAATCTTGCTATTATTAAATTGAATGTTTTAGAACTAATTATCATATGAATATACAGCATTTTGATGTTATGAATAATTTGTATAAGCTCATTATTACTACTGTTTTGGCTAAATACAAATTTATTTCATCAAATTTAATACAACAAACGGATCTTAAATAATGACTGGCTACAAACTACTGCTAAAGATAATTGTTGATAATTGCGTGCAACTTCTCCTATTGTATATTCTCTCTTTTTCAAATTACTGTGATTTGACAGAAATATTTGCCTTCAACTATTTCTTCATTGTTATTATCATGTAGTAATTTGATCTGGGTTGTTATTCCCTAAATTCTAATAGTCTATGTTAATGACCTAACAATGAGTTGTGATAATTTTGATGTAAACAAAATGCAGTGGTTAATGAATTTTTTGCAAGATTTAAGATGCTCCTTAAGAATGAAAGATAAAACATGAACAAAATTTGAAGTAACAACCAAATCGGAAAAAAGAAAACATGGATTAGGAAAACAAAATTTCAACCTATTATTAGATCAGAAGACAAAAACATGGATGTTGAGATTATGGACCATTGGATAGATCCGAAAACAACGGGAAAAATAGGAGTTTAAGTAAATTAGTGTCGCTAAGTATCCTTTTTTAAATGTCTATGAGCCATTTTCAGAGCCTTTTAGGCCTCGTGCCTTTGCAGCGTCGAAGAACTAACATATAAATCTTAGTTTATTGGTATCCTTAAGTCAATTCTGATACTTATTTTAATTTAGTCTTTAATTTTTTAACCTTTTCGAGATATACCTCACATAAACCGCTGCATATTACGTGCACCGCGCAGCATGAAAAATAAACACTGTAAAAACTTATAATATGGTAACTTGCGATAAATCACAGGCTTGGTGAAGATCTCATCTCGATACTGACGTACGGATATAGTGATATTCATGATGATTATGATTGTTTAATTAACAAGTTTTGTCCTAAAAATAATTGCAAAAAGGGACCTAACGTTAATTCTTAAGTGGCATGTCTGCAGGGAGGAAAAATTCTCGATAGTGCCATGCTCCCCAAATTTTGATTTGAGTGACAGCAACGTCAAACCTAACGTTCAAATGCGACAAGTAGTTGACCGTTAGTGCTGGAACCAGAAGACTATGGAAGCATCATTGGCTTAACCACCAGATTCACAAACTCGTTCGGCTATGATCTCGCAAGATCCAAGCAGCCCTGCAAATCAGCAACAAGGTACGAGTTCTTTGATCTTCAAAGATTATTCCAACTTGTCGAGGGTTTTGCATTCCGATCTCTTGGTTTCGTCTAAATCATTACATTGTAACATAAAAATACAGTTCTGTTCATTTAGAAACATGGAAGAACATATATGCTCTGAAAGACGTGAAATAATTTAAAATTCAACTCACAGAAGGTACACTTTATGCTTCACAATAGTCATGAATGTAGTTGGTATCTATGAACTGGATGTGATAAATAGGAAGACGACGACTTAAGACTATGATACACCATATCACTGTTCTCTTCTAATAATGGCTGCTCATGGGTCAAATTTGCTGAACCAGAAAAGCAGCCACTATTCAGAGAACATCACAGCAAAAACACACAGCACATAGACGACCAATTCATTAAATGACAAATCGTTTCAAAATCTACAGATCATGACATTAAGTTTGTCCCTGGAAACATAGGAAAGGTCGGCTTCTCTTATCTTCTAAAACTATTCTTGGAGTGGAAGAAGCATCCCAAGAAATAAGGGAAGCACTTGATAACACCCTTTCTTCAGGTTACCTCCATATGTTCCAACCTTTTTCAGCGAATTGGATGATACTGTGTGATCCCTCGCTTGGGAGGCAGCTTCCTCAGAATAAAGAGCACCAGCGAAGAAGGCACTATCTCCACCAACTGCACCAAGAATAAGAAAAGGTGAGGCCATAGGAGAAGATCTTTCAACAAGTAGAAGTCATGCCATGCAGAAACATTTTCCCATTATACCCGAGGCAAAATCCAACTATGATACTTCTACACTAGTAGCCCAATTCCTTTAAGCAAGATTCAGGACAAAACCAAAAGAGAAAAAAAAAAAAAAATTATCTGGAAGGCTTGTGCACAGGCACAGGCCTACTGTGGCAAACCGGACTCCTATAGATAATACCACGACTTCAACTAATAATTCCAGCTAGACAGGTTTATCAACAGTACAGCTGCTACACACTGCAGATTATAGTTCTGCTCACTAAAATAAAATCCAACCGAAGAACTAATAAAATAGTTCACACAAATTTGGTGGATGCTAAATAACAAGACTGGGGATTAGTCAAGACATAATATATGGAGAATAAAAGTCCAGCATTGCAACAATCACCAACAATACGGAGAGGAAAAGCAGCATGCAAAGAACTACAACCAAGCTCACCAGATAATATACGAAGTTAAGAATGGGATGGTCCAAGACATCAAGGTTGGCGGCCTTATCAAATGCATTAAAGCACATCTGCGACATAGCAAAATTATGATATAACTCAATTTGCAGTCAGGCAACCATAAAGCCTATAGGAATTTAAGGAACTCACCATAATACACCTGACAAGAAAACATGAAAAACATATTGTGGTCACATAGCCAACCTGCAATAGAACAGAAAGTTAAGAAGGGAAATTGAATTCTACTAGGGCAATATATTCTTTGTAAGACTGCATACCTCTTGTAGCTTCTTACGCCGACCTTTGGATTCAACAGGGAAGCGTTGCAACATTAGGAAAAGTCTGTCAAAAACAAAGTCAGGAAAGTCATTATGGTCAGACTGTGACGGTACCATAGAAGGGGGGTATGATGCAGGTACATATTTCATTAACATTTAAAACTTGAAAAATGCTTCTTTTATAAGCCCATTTATGTTCTGCAAGTTTGAAAAATGCTTCTTTTATAAGTCCATTTATGTTTTGCAAGTTGTAATTTAATTTTCATACTACTTTAAATATAAAATATGATACTGAACCATCCACTAACAATCAAAAAATACGAAATGTGGAAAAGTGAAAACCATTAAGTCAAAGCTTAGCTTATCAATTCCAAGGAACTCAACATAGGTCAGATCTCTACGTTTCAAGCGATGGAGACATATGGGGACATTGGAATCAGCATGAGAAACCTTCCCCACTCAAGCACAACTTAAGTCCTTATTGAGTGCCCCATACATGAGTTGAACCAAAATGACATGCCTGTCAACCAGTACTTCATAGACTCTTAAAAATATCTTTATGCCATAGAGGGATATGTGAAGTTCACACACTTCTTTGTTGCTTTCCCATTCAATAGTTGGGGGATGAGACATGCACACTCTTCTATATCTCTGCTGAGAAAGCTCCTTTTATGTCTAATCAATCTTTGTAGAAAGAATGGGGAGAGGACTTTGATGGAGTCAAGCCTGAACATTGAGGCAAACTTGATAGTCTATTCCTTGAATTTAAGTCAACATCTCCCATATGTCTCGTTTATGGGTTTTCATTTCTTCTACTATTGCTCTTTTCCACTGTGTTTCTGAGCTTCATGATACGAGATTTTCATCAGGATGTTGACCGTGAGCAAACGTGACTTGATGTAGAAAAGTGGAGAAGTCCCACATTATATAGAGTTAGGCAAGGTTTATAAGTGAAACAATTCATAAACCATAGCTTCAAGGTTTAGGGTTGAGAAGGAGTGTTGAGCCCACTTATATGCATTCTCTTGTTGCTATTGGGCCTAGTCGGATTGTCCCCATTTTCTGGAAGCTTCCTAGGCCCAACAAAATAGCACCAAAGGCCTTGGTTTGTCAAGGTCATGGATGAAGATGATAAAAAAATCAAGTTTGAACAGCATCCATATCGAAAGTTCAATTGTCATGAAAGTGGGCTAATGCCTTCAAAATATGGCCAGATAGGAAGAGAATGTTTGTGGTCACATGGTTAACTCTCACTTGAGGGAGGAATTGTTGTGATATCAAGTGTGAGTGGACTTGACTCGATGGGGAAAGGCGGAGAAGTCCCATATTGAATGGAGCTATGCTGAAAAAGAGGCATATAAAAGAAAGTATATAAGTGAAGGGTGTCAAGTTTACTTATATGAATCCTCTTGTTGCTACTAGGTCTGGTTGGATTCTCCCTCTTTTTTGAGATGCTTCTTGAACCTAACAATGATATTTATGAGACATCGTCCAATTTGATGTTGAGTGCGAGATTCGATATTCTTCCCTAAGGATGTAGACCAATTTAATTCCCCATTAGCCCTTCTACAAGATTCGTGGTGTCACTCATGAGAATGAGTGACTATAACCTCACGAGTTTTCCTCTTTAATAGACATAAGGTCATGCATAGTTTTCAATATACGGGTGAATTTGGTCATTCCTAGGGGTCAATTTAGTTTCAGATTCATCATGACTGTTTTCAACGGTACACTAGAAGACCAAATCAGATCAATTCATGCTAATTAAATCACAAGTTGCACTCTCTCGATTACACTTTTAATTATGAGCTTTCATTTAGTGTTCATACAAAATTATAACACTAAAACATCATCAAAGCAATATAGACTAAATACAAAAAAAAAAAAAAAAAAACTAATAGACTAAATCAAAACACACACACACACACACACGCAACTACAATACCCCACTTCAATTTTTAATTATGAGCTTTCATTTAGTGTCCATACAAAATTATAACACTAAAACATCATCAAAGCAACATAGACTAAATACTCAAAAATACTAATAGACTAAATCAACACACACACATACACACAACTACAATACCCCACTTCAATTTCATGAGTCCAAAAGGCAGAAACGATTTGAGAAACCAACATGGGCTGTCATACAATGTTTCCTTCTTACAATTCACAGTTCCTAAATTAAGGATTAACTCTGTAATTGGAATAAAATATGGAAACTTAATTACATCACAATTGCAAACTGAAATTAACAGATACCTTCCACCATAGAGAAGAAACCCAAGAGCAGCAAACAAAGAGACCCCTATTACAACATAAATGAATTAGCAACAATTCATGACAGTCATAATCAATAAATAATTTGACCATAACAAATAGTACAAGTTGAGTCTAAAGTAGACAAACCTGCAAAGAACATCTTCGACAGGACAACCAATAAATTGACGGGCTTCCACCATAATATCAGCCACAAAGCGATCTGGCATACATTCAGAAAACAAAACAAATTTAAAATTGTCGAACACAAAGGTACCAGCAACATTAAAACTCATGATATCGATAATTTCCAAGTTTTACACTGTTGCCATTAGACACCAGGACACATTTTCATATCAATTAATTACTCCTAGCATCTTTAAGGCCACAGCCTAATTTTTACTCCCACACAATTTGACCATAGTCACACATCACAAGCAAAGCTTAGGCGCCTGACATTTCTTTTTACAAAGATGTGAGGAGATGAAGGGAATAGAGTATTAAATAAGACCCTCCAACTTTCTTCTTAAAGGGACATCATCGACAAACTCATCAACCAGGTATGAAATTGTTGTACTAAGGCCATTAAAAAACGAGTTACATTTAACACAGTACAACAAACATATCTTTGTACGGTCTCTTCAGATCTTAACATCTTTAAACATAAAACTGTTTACACAGAAGTCCATCAATACTTCAGCAAGCGATCCAGCAAATACCAATTTCAACCTAAACGACCAAGCAAACTAGATGACCCATAGCTGGGACCTCCAAACAAAACTCAGGCAAGAAGTTTCACCTGAACGGCATATACTACAGCATTGATTACATAGAAGCTTGGCCTCAGTCTGTCAGTAGACACAGCACGTGCCTGAAAGATATCAACGTTAACACGGTGAGCAGATCACCAACTTGTAAAATATGCTAGATTGCTAAAATTGAAGAAAAACCAAAAGAGTTAGACAAGATTAATGTTCAACAAATTAAACTGGACTTGCCTGGTAGTATATCTCTGCCCAGAATAGGACCAAGAGTGCATACGTTGTGAAGAAAGCAAGACTTGGCATATCAAGTATGATATGTTGGACAATCTACATACAGGCAATCTAAATATTAGATGCTTGGACAAATACAGCATTATGGCATCACAAGGGGAAGATTGTGTTCCTACCTCTGGCTTCAACTTCTGCACGTCCCGGCGGAATATAAATACAAAACATCGAACTACAAAAGCAGACCGGTATATATTATTGCAGATATTATTCCCACATTTACAGTCGAATTAACATTTAAATCAATAAACACATGGGGAGAATTAAATAATACAAACCCCCGTTCACCAAAAAATTGAGAAAGTGAAAGACTTTCTGCGTGGTCCAACCATATTCCGGTACTCTCAATTGTATACGAACTAGTTGAACCTAAAAACATATGGAGCAAAAAAAATCCAAGTGAATAGGCGTAAAATCTTCATGGCTTCTACAGTTAGACATAATCGCATGTCCCATTCTCTTCAAGCATTCAATGACATACGAAAACCCTAAAAGCCCTTATCCAATAAAGAATTTCAAATCTGCCCAAAAAGCGATTGACGGCGAACGGCAACCCAGAAAGACTCAGCAATGACATTACAAACGTGGAAGCGTTGGGACGGGATTGAAATTACCACAGCAACGACAGCTACGATCCCATAAAGAGCAGCGAGAACGTGGAAGATACGATCCTGCCAGACCGGAGAATCATTGACGTCGTGCCACCAACTGGAGGATTCCGTGAGCTCGATGGCCGCTACAGCCAACCCCACCGCGGAAGACGTCGACACCGGCACGCCGTTGCGACCCATTCAAATTGATTCGATTGTAAGTACGCGCCGGCGAATCTTGTTAGCAAAATCACAAGCGACCTAGATTAATTCGTGAAGACGAAAGAGGAAGGACAGAAGCAGATTATGGACCCTTTTTTATTTCTTTTTATTTTTACAGTTTCTTCTTCTGTTTTTTTCCTCGAACCTCAAACGACCGGCACGAATCCAAGAAACGCAATGGGGCGCAACCGGCTAGAGGGGCAATGGACGTCTCTGGAAGATGACCGATGATAGCCGGTCTGCCTGGGGTTTCAAATCCAGGCTTCATCAATCATGGGGCAACGTGTACAAGCGGAATTTTTGTTTTTTAGACCAAAATTATTATTTTGATCATCAATTTAATTGAAGAAAATTTGGTTCAAATTTTTCCCTTGAGAAATATATTGGCCAAAGGACTCCAGTCTTCTTAAGTTGTGTGCAATTATCTTTAAGTACGTATAAAAAAATCTTTAAAAATGACTGAAAATATGTTGCACAAAAAAAAGTTTTATCATTCAAATTCATATCTTTATCTCTTAAAAATTTTTAAATAAGTACTTCTCAGCGAATTTTTCTTTAATTTAATTCTCGTTGTTGAAAAGTATTGCGTATTAACGATATTGTAATAAACTTATTAAATTTTATTACGTTATATATATACATTTTTTATTGTCATTTAATTAAAACATATGTAGACGAGTTGTTTTTAGATAATTAAATTGAAAAAAAAAACCATTCATGGGATTGGAAAACCTTTTTTAAATTGATAAAAATAAAATTAGGATGAAAATAAGAAGCTATAATGAATGATTAGTAGTTGGACGGTGGATGTTGATTTTAAATATTGTTTTAAAACAATTCATTATCTTTTTAGCTTTTATTGATGTATTTTATTGGTTGGATTGATTGGTTGGAATGAGGGGTAAAAACTGAAAAAGGAGGGGAAAGGCGAGATCGGAATGTTTGGTTTTATAGGGACACTTTCAAAGTCATTATTATTCTATGGAATCTTTTTTGAGCTCAATTCTTTTCCATGGAGTGGGGAAAGAAGAAATGGCGTGCCATGCTTGGGAATCCACGTCAAAAATGTCTGTCTCACGGTTACTTCTGATTTTAAATATAAAATTTATTTTATATATAAATTATATTATAAAATAAGTTTTATATTTAAAACCGAATTATTTTTTTTTTTGATAAAAATGTTTTATTCATGCATGTATATGGGGGTTTTGATTTTGGTCCCTGTCACGAATTAACTCGCTTTGTTTATTTTAAATTTCATTTTCGCCCCTTAATTAAAGTGAGAAAAAAAATTCCTTCTTCATCTTTTCAGCCTCATCGTTTTAGCCATCCAGGATAATAAATCTATTCATTACTAATGAACTTGTGATTTAATAATATGAAAGCTTTTATATGAACAAGTGATTATGTGTTCAATGAGGCTGTTTTTTTGTTTTTTGTTTTTTGGTAACATCAATGAGGCTGTTTTAAATAAACATGATGCCGTTATTCGTGCAATGTATGACGTGGAACTCTTATCCGTAAATTAATATATTCCCCCAAAAAAAAATTCTACATATTTGCTTTCTTGCAGTGCCATCTCAATAGCATAAGAAATACTCCCTCCGTTCCTTATTATAAGAGACATTTGATGCTTATGGCATGTTCCTATATATAAGAGACACTTACAAGTTGTCTCTATTTTTTTGTGTTGATTTACTATTTTACCCATATTTATTATCTCCAACTCACACTTTCTCTCCCTTCCACTTCTCTTTCTTTGAATAATTTAATTGTTCTCTCTTATACTCTCTCTCCTTATTAATGAGGGCATTTTTGGAAAAAAATTATACTTTTTACACATTAATTGTTCTTAACTAATTTTAACTGTTTTTTTGATCAACGTATTTCGGTTATTTGTCTCTTATAATAAGGAACGGAGGGAGTAATAATTATATTCAAGCAAAAAAAAAAAAACTATGTATATTTTTTATTTTAGAAATTTCATGCAAGCTCAAAGCCTTCGTTTATATAAATGGTTTCATTGGTTTTGTAGCATTCCCAAATTTCAATTTAAAGAAAATTATTGATTAAATATTCAAAGATTTAGCTGAAGAATTTTTTTTAGATAAACTACTAGGCGCTGATTTGCAGTGAATTAAGCTAAAAAAAATAAAGTGCCTGACTGGCAACTCGTTGAGGAGGAGAAAGTAACTTATACAGGTGATAACTCAATTTGTAAATTTTGAACATTGTTTGTTACAGTTTTTAGCCAATCTAATTATAGGTGAAAAGTTATTTTTTTAAGTACGACCGTAAAAGCACATAAAATTTATTTATGACTTGCAAAAAAATTTTTAAAATTTAAAAGACCTTTTTATGCTTCTCTTTATATTCCTTCTGCTTCCCGATTAATTTTTAGTTATTTATTTTTAATATTCTCTTAAGTGAAATTATTTTTTAAACATTTTTAATGATGTTTTTTTTAATTTTTAATTTTTAATCTTTAATATTATTTTTCATTTTATGTTTACATAAATTATCCAGAGTATTCATCCAATTAATTATTTAATATTATTTGTTTTAAAAAATTTTACATTGATTTCTAATTAAATATATTTTATTCATTAAATATAA